GAGAAAGCTCAACTTTGCTTTGCTTTGCTCTAATTTCAAAATTTAAAATTCCTATTTGGACCACTTGTTAGGCGTGTGAGACTAAACATTTTGACGAGAGTGCTGGGCTAAGGAACCCCTAGTGTATCACGGTTGGCCGTTTGTGCAGTCCAACGTCGGTTCCAAAAAGCTAACAAATTTTTGACCAATTTTGATAAACGCGATGGATGGTAAATAACATGAAGGAGCTGTCGGAGGGAACGACATGAGTGAGAGTCCATGTTAATGTAGAGTTGGCTTCATAGAGCACACCTGATGGTCAGGATCAACAGACAGGGAGAATGGGCGCCTCAAACCGATCGGTAAGTTTAGACTGGTCGTCTTTAAGTGCTTATGGGTTCCTTTCAAGCTTCTGGTGGGCAACTCGCTGCAAATAAATCAAATCTTGGAGGGGAAGCTAGAGAACAAGGTGAAAGTTTATGGCGAGACGAGAGATTATTGTTGGACGAAATCTGAGCTTCAGAGGAGGTAGGAAAGTTGATCTATTTTTCTGCATGTTTTCCTCACGGTCAGGTTCTGATAATGTCTTTCTATTTGCTTTTCTGGTGGGCAAGTGGCTAGCAACGTAGCCCTAGCGACCAGTTGAAGACCTGGTCGGCAATAAGTAGTATTTCGATTTACTGGTTTGGCGTTTTGATCGACCAGTTTGGTGTACTGATTCGAAGGCCGATGGGCGATAACATTTTCTAATAGGCGACCAGCATGGTGCTCTGGTCTGAGAGATGACCGACGTGGGGGAGAGTATAGCTTTGCACTAGGTTCGCATGTTGTTCAACTGATTGGGTTCTTCCAAAGAGCTGGTAGGTATGGTGATTGATCAAATAAGGTGATTGGTACCATTATGAGCTTCAATATAGGCTGTCTGAGACGTGTTGACCGGACGTGTTGACCAGGTCGACATGTTCTGAATAATTCTTCAAATGATGTTTCTGAATCTGGTGTTCATGCGGTTCTGATTCTGGCCTCCATATGGTTATTCTGATTCTGGTCTCCAAGTCTAGTCTCTATGTGGTTCTTCTAATTCTGGTCTCTAACTGATTCTGAATCTGGTCTATAAACCTTGTGCCTTCTTTTCTTGTTCGTTTGTTCCGATGTTGATAGGATGTTGATTAGTTTGACAAGGAAGCGGTTCAAGCAAAAGGACGTTATGGTTGTGCTTCTTTCACGCAACGTTGACCGACCAGTTAATTATGCACGTATGACAGTGGAAAGGGTATATCTGGGCAGGCAAATTGAAGCATTGATGCAGCCCATTGAAATATTTTCCATCGGGATTGAGGAATCTCTAAGTACCGAGTTAATCTTGATATCATGCTTGCTGGCCTGGAATTTGTTTGCTTTATCATTTCATTTTGTGGTTTTTGGTCTGTCTGTGTCTTTCTTCATGCTTGCTTAGCCAATAAGTAGTTGGAGATTTGGGTTTGGTGACTGTCCGAACTGAAGCTTAGATGATGGAGTAGGCCATTGTGTAGCTCAAGAGCAAAGCAGCCATAAGCAAAAAAAACTAAACAGTGAGCCATTATAGAGAGAGAGAGAGAGAGAAAGGTCAAAGCAAATGAGGAAATATGGGTAAGAGAATCAGAAAGGAAGGGAGCTGCAGCCGCATGTAGTAGGAAAGGCTTCAACTGGATGAATGACTTGAGGAAGTGACTCTTAAGCTCCCTCCTTGCAGATCTTTTTAGGAAGAAACCATAAGCATGGCTGAATAAATAAATAAGAAGTCTTTCTAAAAATTCTTGTTCGGAGTCAGAACAGAGGGGTATTGTCTTTCGATAGCTTTTAGTAGAGAAGAGAGAATTAAATTTTACTATTTACCACAGACGACGCCAATGAACTAGAGGGTCGATAAATGTTCCCCATAGAGGGTAAAGTATATCAATCTAGGGGTGCTCATAGTGGCAATGGTAGAGACCAAGGCCCTTATGAAGCTTCCCATAGTGTTGTACATAAAAAGGGGAATATGTGTGAAGATGGCTAAGGTGACCCTCTATGGAGGTAAAGTAAGAACATGAAAGTGAAGAAGAGAGGATGATCCCCCTTCAATGTGTGAGAGGGGTATTTAGAGAGGTAATGCCTCTGTCAAGCGTGGGAAAGAGAAAGTGGAGAGCTATCTTCTAGCTAGCCTAGCCTTTTCAGGCTAGGCATGCTGAACCCATTGCCAATGTGCAGGGGTAGCAGTGTGCATGGGGAAGAAGGGGAATCCTATATGGGTACCCTCTAGATATGGGCTTTGATATTGGACCCAACCGATTGAGCCTACAGATGTGGGCCAGCCAGAACAGCTGGAAACATGCAAATTAATAGACATTCAATTTGAGATGACCTCCTACAAGTGCACAAGCGCCTAAAGGCTACAAATTAATTGAAACAAAGCCAATTGTCTAATTTAGCTAGGAAAAAGGAAGGATATCTCAAAAGATACGATATAATGCAGCCTAAGAATAAGGATAAGAATGACAATCCAAACCTCATAACAAGAACTCAGATACAACCCCTAAAGAAGGGTACATGTGGAGTTCTCACTAACAATGAAAATTCTTAGAAATAAATTCCTAGATATAATCTAAGAAGAATTGGATAAACCTTATTAAAAGTAAGGCCTCCAAATGCATCCCTTGAAGAAGAGCGTAAGACAAAAAGACCCTAGCCACATTCATAATGAAATTCTTGAATGTAACCTTCAAAAGTAGAGTACACTTTAAACCCACTGCAAAAAGTCAGAGCCAAAATCTTGCACTCGGTCAAGGGAGGATAATTTGAAGAAACCTAAGAAGAAAATTATTGGGAACTTCAAACTGAGGTCTAAAACTCATGTTTCATTACTTTAAATTAAGGCTTATACCTTTGGTCACATTTCTTTGAAACCAAGGCTTGATTATACAACCACACTACTTCATAGCAAGGCTTAAACCTGCGGTTACATCAGTTTGATCCTAGGCTTAAAACTTTAGTCACGTCAATTTGAGCCAAGGCTTAAAACCTTTGGTCACTCCTGTGAACACCATTTTTTTCAAAATAAAAAAAAATCCAAAAATGGAAAGGATGTTTCTAGCAAAAATGGTTGTAAGTTTCTATAGTTAATGCCTTTCTATAAATAGACAAAGACTATAACCTGTACACACTGAAAAGAATAAAAAGAGAATCAGAGATGATTTAAGGGGTTAGCCAAAATGAGTAATGGAAAAGAGGAAGGAAAGTTGAAAGGTTTAAGAATTTTTTTCTCAATATGAAAGGAGAAAGATGAGGGATCAAGAATGATAGCAAAGAAAAAAAAATCAAAGAAGACAGGGAACACTTTTGAAAGAGAGGCATTTTTGGTATATGAGGATTGTAAGGCAACGTACGAAGAAGGATTTTCATTCTTGAGCACCAAAAAAGAGTAGAAATAAAACTTTGTGCTAATTCTCTAGTGTGAAAAGAGGCTGCATGGGGAGGGGGTCTCTGTGGGTTGAAACTAAAAAAATTTAACTAGAGAGTGTAGAGAGAAATCATAAGAGAGTATACAAGAGATTGCAGAGAGTTTGAGTATGAGAAGATTCAAGGTGTTGGAAGAAGGATAGGAGAGGAAGCTTTATCTTAAGAAAATTTTCTAGATTCTAGCTCTTTGTATTTTTCTTCATCCTGTTACAAGTTCAACTTTGCTTGTTAATACTTGAAAATGGAAGTTTAATATTCTTTATTATTATTTGAATGTATGAAAATGGTTGAATGTTATATTTTACCCCTTAAAGCATTTATTCTCCATGACATTTCTTAATCAAAAAATAATAAGAAAAGCAAATAAAAAATGAAAAAACCAATTTACGCCTCTATTTCTATGATATGAACAACCCTAAACAACATTTTCAAATCAAGTTTGAATAAAAAAAACTTTAGAAATGTATTGAATGTCCCTTTCATCCTTCATAAGTTTTCAGCAATATTGAACCAAAGAAGTAGAGAAGAAGGAAAAATTGGTATATCCTCCACAAGCTTCATGGAAAACTCAGCCACATGCTTCCATCTCCTCGGTGCCCATACCAGTACCACCATCCAAACCCGCAAATACAATAACCACTTGCAAGTTTGGTCATGTTCCTCCATCTTCTCGTTGACCAAACCACCATGAATCCGCTAGCTATGTTGTGAACAAGTTCCCAATAACCCCGCAAGCGCTCCTAGATTCTCTTATTGTAACTTGTCCAAAATCATGTTATCATAAGCTTTTTCCTCAACAAACTGTAACTCTTTTGGTCACTATCTACTATCAATCTTCATTGCATCTAATACACAACCATGGTAGACACGTCTCATCAATTCATCAATTCTTCAATTAAACAGAAGTTATGACTAGACTATATCGAAGGTTCGACCAAGTGTGGAAACCCCTATTGACTATTTCCTCATACTTTTTAAATAAAAGAACTTTTACGAAATGTATATTATTTACTCTTCATATCACATTGATATTAGTTATTAAAAATTGAAGTGCATCATGTCAGTCTAAATTGATAATAAAGAATAAAAGATTCCTTTCCGACCATACCAAGGGAAATACATAGCAATGGAGGAAGCTTTGGTGGAAACTGGGAGAGAAGAGGATGATTTACTGGAGCGGAGTGTGGAAAAAGCTAAAGAAATCTGCAGTGTAGCAGCTCCATTAGACGAGGAAATGTTGGATAAGAGTTTAACAGAGGTAAAGAAAGGTAATCTGGATACCCATGGTAAGCCAACCTGGGTTGCTCGAGGAATGGTCTCATACAAGGACATAGTCCTCCAACTTAATGGGGAAGATGATGGAGGAATCAGCGAGAAGGAAGACTGGATTACCATCCAAAGAAGAGAAGAGGAAGAAGACGACCTAGCTGAGGAAGAGGAGACCATGATTCAAGAAAACCCTTTGTGTCCAGTGTACTACTTCTCCAAAAAAACAACACAAGAAGGACTGTAAGAAGTGGAAATCAGAACTAATAGTCAAGTTGATGGGGAAGAAAATAAGCAACAGGTTCCTTATGGCACAACTCACTAAACTATGGTGTTTAACCGTGAAGTTTGACATCATTGACTTGGATAATGGCTATGTTCTGGTTAATTTCTATGATGAAAAGGACTACTTCCATGTGCTTCATGAAGGCCCTTGGATAGTAGTACAACATTATGTCATTGTCCAAAGATGGAGACCTATGTTTGATCCATACGAGGAGCAGTTTAAACGCATAGCTGTCTGGTTGAGAATCCCTGGCTTGCCGTTAGAATTTTACACTTCACAACACCTTTGGAGAATAGGCAACCTTTTCGGGAAAACACTCAAAGTGGACAAAATCTCACTTAGGCAATCTGATGCAGGTGGTGGGGAGTATATAGAGAAAGGAAAATATGCAAGGATTTGTGTGGAGGTGGACCTAAGGAGAAGCCTCGTATCTCAGTTCCAGGTTTTGGACAAGACTCTTCAGGTTGCGTATGAAGGATTGCACCAGATTTGCTTCTGATGTGGGAGATATGGTCACCGCCAAGAATATTGCAGCAGGGGAATCGGCCAAGAAATCCTACAACCATGAGGGAATCAAAGTAATCAAACGAAAGAAAATGAGAAGACAAGTAGCAAGTCTAATGGCGAGGAAGAGGCAGACGCTTTTGGCAACTGGATGGTTGTTCAAAAGCACAATAGAGGACGTAAACCAAAGGCCAGCCCCCAGAGCCAGCGGCGACGAGTGCTAGGGTTCCGCCCCAACAGCAAGCCTACGGCCAACCTCAGAGGAAGAATACCACCAACGAGATTATCGAGGGAAGCTCCAAATCAAGATTTGCTGTCTTGACAGGATCTGTGGAGCAAGAAGAGCCATGCATGCAGCAACCAGGAAAGCAGATAGATACAGGAACCAAGGAGTTAACTTCCCCCAGTGAGACAAAAGAAATACGAGGAAAGAAGCATACCTCAGGGAAAACGAATCACAATTCAAGAAGTGGGCCAAAGGGTCGAATGAAAGTTACCCACCAGAATGGCCAGAAAGGAAATACTACAAAAGTGCAACCTGGAAAACCTAGTACCCATTGGGTTGAGAAGGGCAAGGGCCCCCACGTATCAGCTATGGAGCTTGTCCCAATCACAAAAGAACATAAGAGTGATGTGGTGGAGACAGAAAGGGAGGTGCAAAAAATGACAAACAATGAGGATAAGAAACAACAAGAGCAAGAGATTATCTCATTTATGAGATACATGCCAAAGGAGCAGGACCTAGCAGACTTGGATAGGGCTATTGCATGCATGCAAACCGGAACCAGAAAACCCCCTTCCCTAGACTACCACAGAGCGGAGGCTAGCAACCAGAGGAACCTTGCCATGCGAGTGCAGGTGCTCACAGATCCTGTAGTAATAGTCCCTTGAGACTTTCTTCGGGGATTAGAAACTCCCAAACCCTCAATGGCAGGAATACCAACGGGAACGAAGGATCCCAGAAGTCCATCCATGTACCCCCAGTGTATCAATGAACATCCTTGTTTCGAATTGCCGTGGTGCAGCAAAAAAAGATTCAAAGGCATCATGGGAACGCTAAATAGGAAGTTCAAGTGTGACATGGTTGTTTTGGTTGAGCCTATAGTTAGTGGCTCGCGTGCAGTTTCCATTATTCATAAACTAGGTTTCGATAACTCCATTGTAGAAGATGCAGTAGGCTTTTCCGGTGGTATCTGGGTTATGTGGAATGACTCCTCTTTCTCTGTAAAACTAAAGGAAAAAAGGACCTCAATTCATATCATTGCAGATTACTTATCCTAATAAGCAGCCCTTCCTGTTCATGGTCATCTACGCTAGCCCTCGCATAGAAACCAGGTTAGAGCTATGGGACAAACTGAGGTGTCTGAGCATGACGTACGATGATCCATGGCTCTTAGCTGGAGACTTCAACGAAATCATCGCAGCTAATGAAAAAAGAAGAGGGGCTCATGCTGATGTTGGCAGATGTTCCGCCTTTGCTTCGATGCTCGATGACTATCAGCTGATGGACCTTGGTGGATCTGGACCATTCTTCACGTGGAAGGGTCCAAAATTTTCCCACCTAGACCGGGTGTATAAACGTCTTGATAGGGAAGTTGCAAATGCCCATTGGAGAACAATGTTCGATGAAGCCACTATTCACATAGGTCCCAGGGTTTATTCTGATCATAACCCACTATACATTTCCCTGTGTAAGGATAACAATAATTGGGAAGACAGACCTTTTCATCTGTTCCCACCTTGGCTTGACCACTCGCAGTTTCTAAACGTGCTTACTGAGAACTGGAGGAAAGATACAGACGTTGGCACAAACTTGACCGAGCTGGTTCCTGCCTTAAAGGAGTGGAACACAAATGTGTTTGGTTTTATTCCAACAAAGAAGGCTGTTATCCTTCGTCGTCTGGCTGGCATCCAAAGCTCTCTCGATTATGGACATAATTCGTACCTTGACAAGATGGAATGTGAGTTGAGAAGTGAGCTTGATAAGACCTTAGAACTTGAAGAGAAACTTTTGTACCACAAATCTAGAGCCATCTGGATTCGAGAAGGTGACCGTAATACTAAGTTTTACCACACCACTGCCGTTGCTAGGAGGAGGAAGAGCAAAATCTTAGCCTTGAAGAATGCAGCTGGAATTTGGATTAGAAGTGAACTGAACCTTAAAAACATGGTGGTAAACTACTATAAGCAGCTCTTTGTCGAGGAAGAAGCAAATAGAAAGTGGATGACCACCTCAATTAACTGGCCACCTTTGGTGACCCACGATAAATAGGTCCTGAACAAACAACTAATTGCACTTGAGATCAGAAGTGATCTCTTCCAGATGGGAGCTCACAAAGCTCTAGGTCCCGATGGATACCTAGCAGCCTTTTACCAGAAAAACTAGGTTTTCTTATCGGACAAAGTTTGTCAGGAAATCACCACTCTGTTTAAACACCCGAAAGACATTGGTAGAATCAACGATACTCTTCTAGTGCTCATCCCTAAAGTGGAGAAACCAGAAAGGGTTGAGCAACTCCATTGCTCTTTTTAACGTGCTTTACAAGATTATTACCAAAGTTATTGTCAACCGGTTGAAACCCATTATGAAGAAGCTTGTCTCCCCAGCTCAGTCCAGCTTCATTCCTGGAAGAGTTATCCATGACAATGTGATCATAGCTCAGGAGATGACACATTCCATGAATAAACTCAAGGGGGAAAAGCTTATATGTCCACTAAAATAGATCTAGCTAAAGCCTATGATCGTTTAAATTGGAATTTTGTCAACCTGGTTCTTTTAGAAGCTGGTGTGCCTGCAAAACTAGTTAATATTATTAGATGTTGCATTTCTTCTTCCAGGTTCCAGGTGCTGTGGAATGGAGGCAAGTCTGATAGCTTCATTCCCTCAAGGGGAATCCGCCAAGGGGACCCTATATCCCCTTACATTTTTGTACTTTGTATGGAGAAGCTCTCACACTTGATATCTCAAGCAGTTAGCAACCACAAGTGGAAGCCCATGCGAGCTGGTAAGAATGGTCCCCCCGTATCCCACCTCATGTTTGCAGATGACCTTGTGTTGTTTGGGGAGGCAAGCATTGAACAACTTAGAGTAATGATGGATTGCATGAAAAACTTTTGTGATATGTCAGGCCAGTTAGTCAGCATTGAGAAAACGGTTATTTATTTCTCTAGAAATGTGTCAAACTTGTTGATAAAGAATGTATTTCCCAAGCTAGTGGATTTAGAGTGGCTGACTCCCTAGGCAAATACTTGGGAGCTATGTTGCACCATGGTAGAGGAAAGAGGAGGAATTACTCCCATGTCATCTCCCGTGTCAAGGCTAGACTTTCGAACTGGAAATGCAACCTCCTATCCATGGCTGGGAGAGTAACCTTGGCAAATTCGGTCCTTAGCTCCATCCCTGTGTATCACATGCAGCATGGGGTGCTTCCAATTTTTGTTTGCAAGGATATTGAGCAGATCCAGCGCTCTTTCATTTGGGGTGACACCAAAGACTCAAAGCAAGCCCATCTTCTTGCTTGGGACAAAATCTGTGTCCCGAGGAACGTAGGAGGACTGGCCATCCATAGTCTCAAGGTTCACAATGATGCCTTCCTCTTCAAAGTAGCATGGAAGATCATTAACCAGCCTGACACTCTTTGGGTGCAAGTGTTGAAAGGTAAGTATCAGAGGAATTTGGACCTTTGTAGATGTATCAAAGTGCAAAGCTATGATTCCACTCTATGGAAAGGCATTGGTCGTATCAGGGGGGACCTCCTAGAGTGTCTCGAATGGGATGTGGGAGATGGAAGAGAGATTAATTTCTGGCAAGATCACTGGACCACCTGCATGAACCCCTCCTACAGCATACCATGGCTGACCTCTCTTCGCATGACTTGAGTCTCAAAGTTTCTGATATGGAGGATCCAGTGTCAGGCCAATGGCGTATAGATTGTTTAAACCAGCATCTCCCAGCAGATGTGATTGGTGTTATTTGTGCTATCCTGCCTCCTTCGCCTGAGAGAGGTGAAGACCGTCTCACTTGGAAAGAAAATGTGTCCAACTCTCATATAATAAGAACTGTTTACTATAAGCTAATGAATTTTGATTCCCTTACTCCTGATCTAGTTTGGGATACCATTTGGAGCTGGAGTGACCCACAATGAATCCACAATTCCATTTGGTTGATTTATCATGGGCGGCTCCTAACTAGACAATACACTGCCAAATGGGGTGGATCTTCATACTGTGTTACTTGCACCAATACTGTTGAAGACATTATCCACATTCTTCGTGACTGCAAGCATGCGCGTCCTATCTGGCACTTTTGTTTTGCAGAATCTATTCCCAGCAGCTTCCTGTCGCTTCCCTTTGATGAATGGATCCGACAGGACATGAGAAAAGAATGGCGCCATCAGCAAGCTTTGGACTGGAGGGACATCTTTATGACCACAACGTGGTTCCTTTGGCGGTGGAAGAACATGGAGGTCCATGACCCGCTTTCCTCCAGACCTGATAACCCTTCAATCCTCATATCATCTTACATTGGAGAATTCAGATCCAGCCTTCATAGACAAGGTCTCCCACTTAGCCCCACCATTGAGCTCGTGAAATGGTCTGTCCCCCCTAGGTTGGTTGAAGCTGAATACTGATGCTTCTGTTAAGAGCAACTTCAATCAAGCGGCTTGTGGGGGAGTTATCAGGGATGATCAAGGCAACTGGATTTTGGGCTTCATGTATAAAATTGGAAACTGCTCTCCCTTTGTTGCGGAACTGTGGGCAATTTATAAAGGGATGCAGGTGGCTTGGAGTAGTGGGACTCAACAACTCATCGTGGAGAGTGACTGCTTGCTGGAAATCCAAGCCATTACTAAGCACAATAACAACAGTTCATACTACTAGATTGTGAGAAGTATAAATCTTTTGAGCAACAAGACCTGGCACATAAAATTTGTACATGTCAAGAGGGCTGCGAACACCTGTGCTGATTAGCTTGCCAACAAAGCCTTCGACTGCATGGAGGATACTGTGATCCTAACTGATGTACCCTTAGGTTTGAGCCTTATTTTGGGCTCAGATTCTATTTCCTTGTAGTTTTCTTTGGGCTTTAGCCCCATTTTGTACTAAAAAATAAATTGAAGTGCAAAAGTAATAGTTTTTAATTTTCTTTTTACTCTTAAAACATTATATGAACCTCTAGGTACTTGGATTAATTAGCATGAGATTGTTCCAATTTACTCAGTGATATCGAGTTGATGTCTTGAATATACAATTACATTGAAAATTTGATAGGAAAAATTTTGTCACCCTTGTAATCTAGTGCAGCTCAACTAGATTAGTTGAAAAAAAAAACTAATTTTTTTACCACTAAATTTTCATATATACATGTGGGTGGTTATGACTTTATGATCATTATAATAAAATAAATTAAACTCATTTAACATTTTAGCTCTTCTTTTTTTCTTCCATTTAAAAATAAAAGTAAAAATTTGTACACTTCTAAATTGCTCAACCGCTGGTGAACGACAATGGAAACAAGCCTCTCTGGCCACATAAAGAGATAAGGAGTCAACATTCTTGAGAATAAGAAGAGCCCTTTCTTTTTCACCCCTGACCTCTCTCCTTCTTTGCTTCAACGAAAATCCTATAACTTCATTATTGAATCATTTCTTTTTTTCTTAATCACTACAAAAACATCCCTCATATTCAGGAAAATTTCTTTTTGTGCGTCATATTCAAGTGGGTATATCTTTTTCTCAAAAAAGAGAAAATTTTCTTACTTTTTAATTCATATCTTTTTAATATTTCCCATAAAAAAAAAATTAGGAGCGATGTTGGTACATAAGATGTATCAAAAAAGAACTTTTTAGCCACAACCACCACTATTCTAGCCTCCAATTAGAGGAGCTGGATAAAGACAATGGTAGTGTGACGAAAAAGTGAAAAATATGCCAATAAGGATGGATATAATTGGTTAAGGATTGAAATCATATTTCATAAGAATGTGAGTTTGAATCCCGTTAGTCGGTATGAGAATCTTGTTGATGGTATCTAACCTCACCTTATAAGTTTTTTTACCAAAAAAAAATGGAAAATATTTCTAAAAAAAATTGAAAACAAATAAGAAAGCTTTCCTTTTATCATTTGTCTTAGAGCTTTAAATTTTGTAATTGATTTAATGCTTTGCTGAAGTTTTAAATTACAATATTCTGGTTGGGTCACGGTAAATATGTAATTGTTAATTATATAAAATAAGCATATTAAAAAAAATATCTACTTTACATTTTGCCGTTAGTGTTGGAGTTCAAACTTAGATATCTACTTTACATTTTTTATTTTAAAATTATGGATCAAAATATAATCAAATAAAAAGATAAAATGTCAAACAACTTTAATTTATGTAATTAAAAAATAGTCATGACTTGGATTACCAAAAAAAAAAAAAAATAGTCATGAATTGGTTAAAGACTACACATTATATCAATGCACTATTAGTTTGTCTTGTATCATTGGCCTGACCAGGTATATTTTTATTTGACAATCTTTCATGTTAGTGAAGGATTCTTGTAAAAAATAAATTAAAAACAAAAAAAATATTAGTATTTGGAGAAGGATATACTTACCACCGAAAAATCTTACCACATTTACAACTAATCTAATCACCGTTGATTTCTGTCAATCTAATAAATTATTAAAAATTATTGGGTCGTATTTATTAATTAATTATTAATTTTTAATAAATCTAATAAATTATAACTATTAAATTGACGAAAATAAACATGATTAAGTTAATTGTAAAGATAATAAACTTTTTTTGGTGGTAAATCTGTTTATCTATAACTTACTCAAATCGCTTAAATATTTGTGTCAAATCTCCACGTGGCTAAATATCTGCTACAGGCATGTCTTCGACCACAGAAAACATAATACATGCATGCTAACGAACGTTTATTATTATGAAAATAAATTAAAAATAAAAACATAAGAAATTTCTTTGTATTCATGTGCAACTTACTCCACTTATTTCGCTTAAATATTACTGAAAAAGTCAAATTTAAATCACTATCATCTCCACGTGGCTACATATCTGCTGTATGCATATCTTCGAGACTTCGACCAAAGATAACAAAAGAACATATAAAGAACATTTATTAAAAACAAAAATATCAAAGAAATCATTTTCTATCTAAACTTGGCTTCCTGCACCTTTTAAAATATAGAATAAACTTGTAAAAATTAAATACAACTAATAAAAAAAAGAATTTACATTTTGGAGTATTCAAATATCATACTGGATAAAATAAATCTCAAAGTCTAGAGGTTAGCACGTCGTTGTTGAGTAACTGGATAAAATATAAACAAAATAAAAAGTAGTGGCTAATAAGAGAAAGTTGTTAAGGTAGCCTGGTTTGCCAATTTTGTAATAAATTTTGGATAGAATATTGTGTCTATTTTTTTTATATCTATTTATTTTTAATATTATTATATAAGAATCTCAATTAATATTTATCATTTCTTTTTTCTTTTAACATTTTAATTTAACGATGCTAGAAAAAAGTAGGTAAAATAGACATAAAAAAATTAATCACGATGAATCATTATCTATTTCTTAACTTGAGATAGAATTCCAAATAAATAAAATAAATAAGAGAGATGTTTGAGCCGGCAACATATATATTATATGTAAGTGTTTTATTAATCTTATGTTAAAGAAGATAAATTATCTCATATCATAGAGATAAATTTGTGGGCTTTATCATCTGAAAAAAAAGAAAAAAAAAGAAAAAAAAATAACTTAATTATCGAAAAGTGTGTAAAAGAGAAAGTTATAACATGTAACGTAATGTCAATTTTTCCTATATATAAAGACTTATATTTTGTGTTATAAAAAAAAAAAAAAAAAAGACTTATATTTTGTATTTAATTGAGAAAACATGAAACATGTCTGCTTCAAGCTTACACCACAACCTGTCTTCATGGTGCCACTTCTCTCTAAGACTTACTATATTCTCTCTGAGCTTCTTTCCACGAAATTTCCAGCATCAATGATCAGGGGAAGGTGTCATCTTCCTTTTCTGCAAAATAAACACTTGTTTGAATTTCCATTCTGTTGTTTTTCTCTTTGGTTTGGTGGTGGGTTTCCCAATGAACATGGCAACTGAAGATGAAGGATTTTCCAAGGATGATAACCAAGGCGCTGGAACCATTGAAAATAGAACTCATGTCCCAATTCAAAAGGTCCCTTAGTTGTCTCTATTTTTTATTTTTCTTGCTTTGGACTAACATTTTTGTATATTGGTTTTCTTGACATGAAGATTGTGAGTGTTCTTTGTATGCCCTTACTTCTTGCCTTTTGTTTATCTATCATTGATCGTATAACCTATAGATAATTCAGCCATATTGGTGGTCAAGAGTTTCCCTTTTAGAATTTGTGTTCTGGTAAAGGTTGGGAATTTGGTTTTGCAAATTGCCCCAGTTGAAATTAAGTAGATTTTAGAGGTTTAAATATCCCTAAGATTTGATCACTGCAGGCCAGGTACTGCAGCAATGTTCCCCTAATTCATAATTTTTTATAATGCTCAGATGTTTCAGTTCTCAATTGTGTAACTTGTATCAAAATTCGTTAGTTCATGTAAAAATTGGTTGACCCTTTCCTTTAAGTAGAGATCTCGAATTCGAGTTCGGGAAATGAAGAATATATTAGTCCAACAGTGCTCAAACCAGATTAATTGGGATTAACCGGTTGGAAATAATGAAAAAAAAATTGTTTGACCCCAAAATTTCCTTTCCAAGAGTCATTTCTCTTCAAATTTAGTGTCATTTGTTCTGAAAACATGTTTAGAAAATTTGGTGGTGATTCTCACCAAAGTAAGCTACTAGTCAAGAATATGGCTCATCAGCAAAGCGTACCCAATATCTTCTGAAGATTTTCATTAGTATAGTGCTTGTGAATACGCATGATTGATTCCCTATATAGATTTGTGAAGCTTCTACAGTTTTAATGAATGTCAATTAATTGGCGACTTGTATGATTCTGCTTCATATAACCCCCTGTGAAGTTAAACAAGCAGCGACATCATCAGACTCACATTATCTTGATGTACATAATCTTCCCTATGCTGGAAAAAGCATCATATGTATAAGCACTCCCTGCATAAATGGGGAAAAATGTCAACACTGTAGATAGATGAGTTCAATTGATTAAACGGACTTTAAGTATCCTCCAACTAATATACATGTCTCTGAAATATTTGTGTATTAACTAAGATATATTACTTTGCAGCTCAATGAGTAAATTTTTTCCTTCTGTATTTTTTAAATAGTTTTTCTTCTGCTTCTTTATATATAGGGTCTAGAGTCATCTGAAATAACTGATGAAGTCTCAAGTGGTCAACATGGAACAAGGCAAAACCTTATCTTGGAGATACCCTCAAGAACTCAGGAGGAAGCAAGAGAAGATTTTTTGAGAATAAACATGCCTCCAACTCCACCTCCAAGAAGAGTGATTTTTTCTCCCAGTCCAAGCCCTGGTTTATCCATAAGCAATGGATCCCCCTCCTCATCAAAAAGTAGATCAACTATTAAAACCCTTCTTCCCAAACTCAGTTTTAAAACTCGGAGCACAAGTTCAGATATTGAAAAGGATGCCTTCTTAGCTCTTGAAGGTTCATCCACAGTGGCACCAAAAAAGCCTCTTCTTTCAAGGACATTATCTCTTATCACACCTAGAGGGAAGAAAACTTCATCCTTACCTGTAAGCCCAAATGCTCATTCAAATCCAGGGTCTGTACATGGAGGGAACATGGCTTCTCCAGCAACAGTTGTTGTGAGTAGCTTTGCAACTATTGCAATACGTTAACCATGCTTTGTAATGATCATATTTAATTAACATATATTGACAACAGAGATGGTTGATATCATTGTGGAAAAAAACTCTTTCTTCCTTGGAATGTTTCTAACCGTGCTTTGTATTCATGTAACCAGGTTTTCTGAGATTGTAGTATTCATGTGTTGTTCTCTAAAACTGTAAAGTTCCTTTTCTTGGTTGCTGAATACATCTTACTTCTTTTCCCAAATAAATGACCTGAACTTGAAATCTGTCTAACAGATAGTGTGACATCATTATAGAGATGTTTTTTCAGCAATGATTCTGCTTGACATGATCAGTTTCAAATATTTCCTAAAATATATTTCAGATTTAATGCAACAGGCATCCAGAAATCCCTTAAGCTTGAATTTGTCAAGTATGTATTGGAACCATCATAAAATGATTCTTTGGCTATCCCTTAAAACTAATTTGAACACTTCACAGATTTGATGCATAGAGCATGAACACCTGCTTCTCTTTTAATTAACATTTTGAATGATAGTTTGATTTTGCTTGTGGTGGAGTTTCTCAGACAATTTATTTGCTTCTGCTAGTCATCTAGTGAAGAAATCATGATTGAGTAGTATGGCATGAAGATTTTCTATATTTGTATGGGTTTCACATACATCAATCTGATACATGTTTAACATAAATCATACAGTCCAATGCACTAAATAGCTTTCTCCAAGAGATGCATCTTTTTAATTGCTGATCAGTCAATGCTCTTTTATACCTTTACAAATCATCATTAGACATTTTAATATCTTCTGGATAATTTTTTACCCACTTATATGACTATATCTAATTTATACATCCCTCATTTTATAGGAGAAAGGACCGCGATTACCAATTCATCGTTCCCGTTCAGTTCCTGAGCTTACCAAAGAAGGTAACACACCTGTAGGTGGCATGTTTCGTATAGTTCTGACCACACCAAGATTGGATGAGAAAGTTGCCACAACAACATCTACGGCATCTCCAACTGATGATAAAGGTAAGATTCTTTTTCAAGTTTGTATTATAGAAGATCTAATAACCTTAGAGAATCTTCAACAATGTCTTCAAAACTACATGCTACATGCAAATGGTGGTTACTCCTTAAGTTCCAAATAATTCAAAGTTTCTAGTATGCTTTGTGCCATTGATTAAAAATACAAAATACAATTTGCTTTCTATTCATAATAAATTATTTTTTGATTTTTTGTTATTCTACACAATAGATTCCTCAACCTTTAGGAACTGTTGCATGTTTCCTTGCCTAAAATTCAAGTGAATACAACTAAGTCTAATTCAGCTTTGCTCAGCTCACACTCTCATGCTCACTTATCTATCCTTTCCTTCTTTATTGACTTCTATTTATTATTCTTTTCCTTTCTTATCCTACTCAATCTCCTACTTGGGCTGTCTTAACCTTTTCAGCAATTGTGTTTCTTCTGTGTACATGACTAAGAGTCAAATATATTATGTTCCTCTCATATTTGAGTTGAAATAACCTCTCTTTGGTTCAATCTACACAAACTTACTTTTCAGGGTTAATTAGTTGCTTTGATAATATTGCTAATTTCCAAATTTGAAGATATCAGTTATTAGCTTGGACCTCTAGATTTAGTTCTTTCAATAACCAACATGTGCATCTGAGTATTCTGGTTCAGTTGAAAATGAGGATGGTGGTGAAGATATTCCTGAAGAAGAAGCTGTCTGTAGAATTTGTATGATTGAATTGGGAGAAGGAGCTGATACTCTTAAATTGGAGTGCCACTGCAAAGGTGAGCTTTCACTGGCACACCAAGAATGTGCAGTTAAATGGTTCAGCATTAAAGGTAATAGAACATGTGATGTGTGCAAGCAAGAAGTTCAGAACCTACCTGTCACTCTTCTACGAGTTCAATCTGTCCAGGCACAAAACTTGCTTGGGAGCCGAGGTCAGCAAACTGAATACAGGCAAGGCCAAATTATTGCAGTGCTTGAGTAGTTTTTTCTTTTTTTGGGAAACTTTCTAGATTATTTAATAATAATGATTTTATGGTTGAGGACTTTATGCTTTATTTCATTGATAAGCTTCTGGATAAGGATTATAAACAAATATGAATAATAATTACTGATGATTTGTTAGACTGATCATACTATACATCAATTGGATTTGGCAAAAGGTAGAGCTCTAGTTTGCATTGACTTGCAAGAGACACACATAACTCATAATTCTTTTGGGATTTAAAGGAAGTCAAACTTTTCTAACCTCTTCTTCTGACTTGAATATCTTTCTGTATTGTTTTCCAACATGGTACAACAGAACTAATGCAAAACTTCTACAGGGTTTGGCAGGATGCTCCGGTTCTTGTCATTGCCAACATGGTGGCTTACTTTTGTTTTCTTGAGCAGCTACTTGTAAGTTTAACTACTCTTTAGACCTATGTTCCCTTTAGCCATTCTGAATTCCTGATGTTATCCATGGACAGATTAAAAGTATGGGATCTAGTGCTGTTTCCACATCTCTCCCATTGTCTTGTATACTGGGTCTTCTTGCAAGCGTAACAGCTACAACAATGGGTAAGACTTTTTCTACTTTTACACAACTCTCTGTACTTGAATTCCTCCTTTGGTATTATACAATTTACTCCAATTCCTTCAATTCTTGATTATTATTATTTTTTTAGTTAGGAGAAATCTTGTTTGGGTTTATGCAACTGTTCAGTTTGGTCTGGTGGTTCTCGCTGCACATCTTTTCTACTCATTGGTAAGAAATTCTTTTTGCAACCATAGTCGTAGCACATTTTGTTAATTTTGCACAGTTTAGTAAGAAATTTGTTGCATTCAAACAAATATCAGCTTATAAGAATGAATTATTATTAGCAAAATTTTGTTAAAAGGCCTAGACTCATGGTCAGTGACCTGAAAGCTTATTAGTCAAATGTATTTAAAAAGGGAAAGATCAACTAGTACCAGTTGCATCTAACCGTTCTAATTTATTAGAGAACCGTTAAACCGTTAGATGTCAGTGGAATCAACAGATAATAAAAGGTGTAAGAATTTGTAGACATACGTATATTAAGTTGTTCCTACCCCCGTTAACATAGCATGGTTGTAACCCAATTGGTGTCAGTCGCAGTGGTTGAAAGTAGTTAATTGAACCCCAAGGTCGAAATTTCGATCCTTGGAGAAGTATCATTGGGGGAGACCTTTGATCTTTACCTCTCCTAGGTCAAAATTGCGAAAGCAAATGTATATATCTCAAAATAACATGGTTGTGGTTCCCATATGTTGGTTTTCAATTGTATTGATAAAGCATTTGTCAGAATTTGCATGATCAACATCTGTCTTGACATCAAGTATTTTCATGCATTTATTTGGGATGGCAGACTAGTATGCAAGTTGTTCTGGCTATTCTACTGGCTACGTTTACTGGGTTTGGAGCTGTAATGTGTGGAGCTTCTATTGTTATTGAGATTTTCAATTTGAGGAGAAGATGGCTTGTTCAGTTGAATCAGCAACAACGTTCGCAGGAGGTGGTACCACCTGATCAACCATCTGCAGCCACTCATCAAGCTCAGATTGATTCTCAACTTCCTGAAAGTAATTTGAGAGATTCTCCTGCGCAAAATAGCTGATAGAATATATTTTCATATTATTTTCTTGAACGCTGGCATCATAAAGGTGTCTCGGGCTGTACATAAAGTAGATATGGACATGTTTGAGCACATTACACGATGGGTTTGATGAATCTCAAGTTATAGCACATGAAATTACATCGTATACATATAAAAGTATATGAGATTCATGTGGGGCCATGTGAAGAAAAGAAAGAGAAAAAAAATATGAACTTTTCATACTTTTATATGTCTGTAGGAGATAATTTTATCTCCTACAACATGAGAAACCCTTACATTACACTATTGTTCTCCTTTCTCCTTTCTAATGCCATGGCATATATACACTTAAGATTGAATAATTGTGTGTCTAATACGAGCACACATGGAATATATATATATATATATACATATATATATATATATTAACAAGTACATAAACTAATCTATCATATACAAGATGTGAGACTATTCTATTATATACATTATACTGTTTTAACATACTATTCTAACATTCTCCCTGAAGCTGGTGTGTATGTATATTGTGAGCACCTAGCTTGTTACAAATGTATTCAACCCAAGGACCTTTAAAAGCTTTAGTGAAGACATTTGTGAGTTGATCTTTGAAGTTGACAAATGTCATTTTGGTTTCTCCTTATTGAATCTTTTCTCGAATGAAGTGACAATTGATCTTTATATGCTTGGTTCTTTTATGAAATACAGGATTAGATTATATATGAAGCGCAACTTGATTGTTACAAATGTGTCATGGACTGTTTCTGTTCACAAAGATAGAGCTCCTGAATCAACTGCTTTAACTAGATTAGTTCGCAGGTGGCATCTCTCATTGCACAATACTCGGCCTTTGCACTAGATCAGGCTACAACAGTTTGTTTCTTACTCTTCCAAGAAATCAGGTTTCCTTCAAAGATGATACAATAACTTGAAGTAGAAGGGTAATTCTACCCAATCGGCATCTGAATAACCACAAATTTTTTTATGTCCCTGATTTGAATATAATAAGTCTTTCCTTGGTGCTCTTTTGATGGATCGGAGAATCCTCACAGTAGCATCACAATGAGAATTACAAGGGGAGTCAAGGAACTGACTAGCCACACAAATAGCAAAAAAGATGTTTGGCCTAGTCATAGTGAGATAATTGAGCTTCTCAATCAACCTTCGCTAATGTCCAAGATCAGATAATGGCTCCACCTATCCGGGCAATAATTTGATATTGGGATTTGTAGGTGTATCTATTGGCTTACACCCCAACATGTCAGTCTTCTCTAAGATATCTAAGTCATATTTCCTTTTACAAATGAAAATGTCCTGTCTAGACTGTGTCACCTCAATCCCTAAGAAGTAACAAAGCTTACCAAGATCCTTTGTTTGAAATTGACAGAACAAATATTATTTTATTTAGTCAATCTGAGCTTGATCACTTCTAGTGAGAATGATGTCATCGAAATAGACTAAAAGATAGATGCACTTATCAGGAGATGTGCACTTATAAAACACAGAATGATCAACCTTATTGCGGATTAAGCCAAAAGCCTAAACGACAAAACTAAAATGACTGAACCACGCACGAAAAGATTGCTTGAGACCATATAAGGAGTTACGAAGTCTACAAACCATTCCAGACTCCCCCTGAGCAACAAAGCCAGGTGGTTGCTCCATGTAAGCCTCTTCCTGTAACTCACCATGAAGAAAAGCATTTTTAGTGTCTAGTTGAAGGAATGGCCAATGACGAATAGCAGCGAGGGCACGAAACATGCGGACAGATGCCATCTTAGAGACAGGAGAGAATATGTCAATATAGTCTAGGCCAAAAATCTGAGTAAAGCCCTTGGCGACTAAGCGCGCCTTGAGATGGTCAACATGGCCATCAGGTCCAACCTTAACAGTAAAGATCCACCGACAATCAACAATAGACTTCCCTAGAGGAGTAGTAATAAGATCTCAAATGCCATTGGAGTTAAGAGCGACCATCTCATCAAGCATCGCTTGGCACCACCCTGGATGGGAAAGTGTTTTACTTGTAGTCTTCAGAATAGAAACAGAAGAAAGACTAGAAACAAATGTGAAATGAGGAATAAAATGACGGTCATAGATCAAAAAGATATAAAGAGGATAAGGGTTACGAGTAGCACGTATACCTTTTCTTTGGGCAATGGGAAGACTTCTAGCGAGGGATCTGGAGGGGAAGAGTCGACAGGAGAAGGCGATGAGTCAGTCGGGGTCAAGTCCACATGAGGCACAGTCTGACAACGCTGATAGGTGAGAAAAGAGCGGTCCTCAGGGATGGAAGCAAGAGGTCGCTCCTCTAGAACAGAGTCACCTGCAGCTGGTAAAGACAAGTCAAGAAAAGGAAGAGGAATAACCTGATCAACCTGTGACAACTGTTTTGGTATAGAATGAAATTTTTGTTGATCAAGAAAAGTGAAATCAGTGAAAACAATATAACGCTTAAGATCAGGAGAATAACAACGATAACCCTTTTGAAGATGAGAATAACCAAGAAAAAAAATACTTTAAGGCTTTGGATGTTAACTTGTACTTAACAGGAGTGAAATCATAAACAAAACAAGTACAACCAAAGACATGTGGGGATAAAAGATAGAGAGGAGCATATCGGGAATGTCATTGTTAAGCATAGAGGAAGGCATGTGGTTGATGATAAAACAAGAGGCGGGTACTGCATCTGCCCAGAAGTGAAGAGGAACATGCATGTGAATAAGAAGAGTTCGAGCAGTTTCAATGAGATGTCTGTTTTTACGTTCGGCCACCCTATTTTGTTGTGAAGTGTGATGATAAGTAATCTGGTGTAAAGTATCTTGTGTGGCCATGAAATTAGAAAAGTCAAAAGAAACATACTTTTTAGCATTATATCTACGTAAAATACGAATAGAGGCACCAAATTGAGTATGAACCTCAGCAGAAAACCTTTTATAACTCAGAACGATTTTTCATTAAATAAATCCAGGTACAACGGGAATAATCCTCAATAAACATAACAAAATATCGAAAGCCTAAAACAGATAAAGTACGACTTGGACCCCAAATATCTGAAGCATTAAGAGAGAAAGGAGCATCAGCTCGATTATTGACTCGATTGGCAAAGGAGGAGCGTGTGTGCTTCTCTTGTTGACACGACAATCAATCTAAAGACTAAAGACCAGATAAAAGAGGAACCATCTTCTGCAATTTTGAAAGACTTGGATAACCGATGCGACTTTGGATAAGTTGTGGAGATTCTGTGAGAGAGCATGCCACTGAAGGACGAGGCACAACCAGATAGTAAAGACCTCGTGACTCACGGCCCACTCCAATTGTCTTCACCGTACCCGGATCCTGCACAAAAACAGAATAGTTAGAGGAGGTAATAATGTAAGTAAGGAAGTGGACCAATTTACTAACTGAAATTAAGTTATAAGGGATGCCAGGAATATAATAGACAGATGTCAAAGTCAAAAAAGAGGTTGGATGAGCTTGTCCAATCCCACGATCAGGGGTTTTAGTGCCATCAACAAGGGTAAACGAAGGTAAATGATTAGAATAAGCAAGAGATATAAAGAGTTTTTATTACCACAGGGGTGATCGGTAGCACCTGAGTCAAATATCCAACAATCAAGTGATGTAGAATGAGAAACACAAGCAACGAGATTACCAATATCTGGAGCAGAAGGTTGAGATTGAGGAGAAGCCTTCCTTAGAAGAATCTGGAGTGTTGCATAGTCTGCAGGAGAGAGAAAGAGATGCTGAACTAGATAAAGCAGTATATGACTAAGCTATATTCGCAGCATAAGAGGGTTGCCGGTAAGGATACTTTGTGTAACAACGCTCCTCATACTTCGTGTGAACAGGAAATGATTCTGCCATTATAAATGCAATAAAAACTTGCAGAACAAAGCAAATAGAATCAAATTGATAGCCAAACAAGAAGAAACATGCACCAAACAAGAGACCCACGAAGAACCAAGAGTAGATTTGGAAATAGGAGACAAATTGAGCAGTTTTGCCGTGGAACAACCAAAAAAGGATGCCGGAACAGTGTTTCCAGCGATGAACAGTAACTCCGGCGACGTGAACAATGCTTTTGACAGTTGTAAGCCAGAGGAACACATGACAAGGAAGGAGAGAACAAGTAAGCAGTGGGCTTAGGGTTTTAGCGGAAGGGAAAGTTCCTAAAACAAAAAAGCTCTGGTACCAACTTAAGATTGAATAATTGTGTGTCTAATACGAGCACGCAGAGCTCTGGTTCCTAAAAAAAAAGTCTCGATGTCCCTAAGAAATTCAAAGTGAACTCATTTAGTTAAAATCGTGGTCCCTCACAAATTCAAAAAAGACCCACATTAGTCCCTCAAAAGGACTAAAATTGGTCCACTTTGAATTTTATAGGGACCAGACGACTAATTTTTTTTTTGTAAGGGACTAAAGTGAGGACCGTATTTTTTGTTAGGGATCCAAATGGGTTTTACTTATATATATACATATATATATATATATATATATATATATATATATATATGGTAAAATCATTTCTGCAGCCGCTTTACGTACAGCAACGACAGGTTTATGGTTATGATTTCTCATATTTAATGTTTTCATCCTTTGTATGGTTATGATTTTCCGCATTTAATGTTTTCATATATATATATATGGCAAATATTTGATTGCTGCACGTACAACAGCTGCAGAAATGTAAACCCCTATACTCCCGGAAGTACATAATTATAATATTTACTATAAGTCTATAACTATGTACTTCCGGGAATAGATAGTAAATCACACCAAATTTTATATCTAGTCACTGTACATTTACTTTATATATATATATATATATATATATATATATATATATATATATATATATATGGGAATGTTATATTTACAACTTATCTTCATTTACAACTTCTTACAACAATATCTTAACCGTTGATTTCCGTCAATCAACGATTAAGATTTTTGCAAATCAAATTTATTAATTGATTTTTAATTCATAATAAATGACAACCGTTGATTGACGGAAATCAACGGTTAAGGTATAGTTGTAAGAGTTTGTAAACTATTTGAGTTGTAAATATAACACCTCTCATATATATATATATATATATATATATATATAATTCATTTCATTAGAACAGTACTTGAGAGTTTTGGCCTAGTATTTCCGGCAATTGCAATGGTTTCCTTATATATATATATATATATATATATATATATATATATATATATATAAACTAAGGGTTTGCATTCTATCATTTAACATAACCACAACAACTTTTTTACACATAATATTTTGTGGGACCGCATGTTTTAAAATAAAAAAAACTACCGGCACGCAAAACGAATCTCTATAACATAACACAATCATTTTTCCTACAACATAACTCTTATAAAACCCATAAACTAATCTATCATATACAAAATATGAGACTATTCTATTATATTCACCGTACTATTTTAACATAATATTCTAACATATACAAATAGACATTTACCGTGTTTGGCACCCCTCTCTCATTAGAAACAAAGAAGCCACTGCTTCTACGAGAATTGTTGGGCCACGGTCGCAAGAAACAAAGGAGGCTGTTCATGTTGGACAAATTACAGTGAACAAGAATTTTCGACTTACTAGGAGTGAGAGTTTGATTGCACTTAGTCTTACTTTTATAATTTTTTTAATTTTACAAAGAGGCTGTTTATCAAATTAGAACGAGTGATCTTCGGTTACAAGGAACTCATTACACAAGACCCTTTATGTGATTGATAATATTTTGCTGGTCCTGTTATCTAATTAAGGATTTGTTTACCTTAAAAGTGAGAGGTGAAATTTTTATAGAAAAGTGTGGAGCTATTCATTTATAGGGATAAGATAAATATTTGAGTTTATTAATAATTTGTACAAATCAATTATTTTACAACGAATATATTAATGGCAGTGATATTAATTATTAAGTTTTAATCCTTTTATTCTGAAGACTTAATTTTAATTACTAATTTTATTTTTTTCTAATTCAAATAAAATAAGAACTCTCGCCTTGTGACACTATCTGGATGTGATATCAACATGATGCGTGCCAACAACGATAATTGTCGACAATAATTATTGAAAGAATATGACAATAGCAATTGTTTAAAGCATGTAAGTGGCAATAAAAATAAACAAGAAAATGCAAAATATTAATTTTAACTTATGCATTTGGCATTTAAAACTGTAATTCTTAAGATGTAAGTTAAGAATTAAATATATTACAATTGTTTTTAATTCTATAAAATAGAATTCAAAATTAAAATTTTAATTCTAAAGTACACACCAAATGAAATAATTAACATTGGAAGATCCAAATCCAATTTCGAGCACAAAACGTCACCTATAATTTACTGAGTGCTAATATTTGCGTACATCTTTTAGGTTTCACACAAATCGCTCACTCCCAATCTATCTATATGCAACTCATTGATTTTAAAAGGAATATATATATATATATATATATATATATATATATATATATATATATATATATATATATATATATATATATGTGTAAAAAAAAAAACACAATTAAAGCTAACAGAATAAAGGCTTGTATTGACTCCAAAGTATAGATCTCCAAGAACCAATTTCACATTATTCCTGTAATCAGACATACCCTAATGAGCCGGTTTTTTACTTACAGTAGGAGGCGGGAGAGAACTCACCCTCACATCCCCACAGTGCCATCAACGGCATGCTCATCCCAGAATATACAATAGAACCAGTTGGTTTATCTTTACTACAATCAGCATGGTAAAATTAGGAAACCAACCGGATAAAAAAGAAAAACAAACCATATCAAAAATTGCTGAAAATTCCCTTCGGAGTATTACCAAGATTTAGTTCAATGTTTATAGCTAGCATTGCCCATCTTACTCGAACTCGAAGGCTTCTCCTTGAGGCTAGTAGCTAAAAAGGTTTCAGAGTTGATTGATGATTGGCTATCAGCAACCACAGGTCTCATCCAGATTTTTATGTGCCCTTCCCGGCAAGCAGTAAGTACAGATTCCTGGGTAAATATCACGCCGGAAAGTGGTTCGGTATGGACACGGTGGGCAACCAGTGGAGAGATTTTTGGAACATCCTGCATACTAGGAGCAGGTTGCAAGGTACCCAATGGGACAACAGTGTCCAAGTGAGAAGACTGGCTTCCAGCACTGTAAGTCGGGGATCCACAAGAAAGACGTCGCAAGGGTACTACAATCTCATCCATTTCCATGTCCCACAGAAGCAATTGCGTATCCTAACACCAAAACATCTTTAGTGCATTTTTGCTCACATAAGAGGTTGAGTAATGCAACACACATAAAAAGTTAGGAAATTTCAGGAATGAATATTCATAACCCCTGTCAATGATCACAAAGATCAAATGCCATTTTCAAAAGTCTAACATCACATATTATAAATACGTGTGTGTGTGTGTGTGTGAAATCTGCTAAACCCCAGTACTCAATCACTACATGAGAAAAGTTATATCAATATATTTAAGGCCGTCATTCTTGATTGTGTTTCCTTCAGCTTTCAAGTTAGCTTTAATTAGGCATATAGTTGATATTCCAGTCTACTTGATTTTTGGAAGTCATCACAGAACCAATACTTGGAAACCATTTCTGGACCTGAATTTCCCCCCAGTGTCACTAAACAGCCATAACTAGCAATCAGCAAACTTCTACAAGACACAGCAATATATGTTCAAAACTGCCAATCATGTCAACGTGGGATGGATAAAAGGACAAAAAAAATCAGGTGAAAAGCACAATTTTGAAAGGTAGAGCCAAACCTACAGAAGGAGACAGCAAAATGTATAGTGAAAACATTTTTGAGTACCTGACCAACAGAACCAAACCGATATCTAACAGTCTCGCCATTGTCATTTGCATTAGGTGATGACCAGTATGAATCAAAAGCCACTCCACTGACCTGATCAAAGCATCAGACAAAAACAAAATTCAGTATTAACAGTAGAGAAGTTCCTGGTTTGGGGAAGTTTGGTTGGACACAACCTTTATCATATCAAGTTGAAAAGATATTTCTACCATTAAAACCCATGACCACCGGATCACAAAGCAGCAACCTTGCTGTTGTGCCAAGGCTCATCTTCTCAAAAACTAATTTAGTACTATGATGCAAAAATTTTGCCTACTCAAAGTTACCATACAACTTACCCATGAGTTGTGTCCCTCACCCCATGCCACAACCTTGCGATCTTCCATACTCCAAACTTGAACTAAATCATCTTCTCCACCCGTCAAAATATATTTTCCATCTATGCTGTTAAAGCAGACTTTCCATTATGGCATTGTATTTTCGAAGTATGAATTAAAAGAAAGACAAAGAAAACACAGTTACAATCTAGAGGAAGTTAATATTATTATTTTAGAAGCATTGGAGTAAGAACTGAACTAAGGAAATAGTATCCAAATATGGAAATATGCCAATTGACTGACTAAAACCAAACATGCCTCACCTCCAAGCACAACATAACAAAGCACCATAATAACTTTTCCCACCACATATAAGTTGTTCTTTTGTGTAATCAAACACTCGTAAATAACCTGAATTAAATAAGTAAAATAAATGTTGAAGATATTTTTGTAAAAAAAATGAAATAAAAATCAGAACTACCACACAGTGCCAATGGTGTTGGAAGGATAAATAAAATATACCATCTCTTCCAACTGTTGCTAAGTATGCCCCATCAGTTGAGAAAGAAAAACTGTTAATTGAACCCTGGCATAGATGCCATCTGGCTATTGGATTGCTCTGCAAAGTCAATATTCAAAGAAAAAAAGATGATAGAGATAATACAAGAAATTCTCCATAATAGAATAATCTAGAATCTATCCTACACAAATTAAGCCTAAAAAGTGTTTAAATGCATGATTAATCAAATGTTAAACAATAGAGTTGCAATTTGCAACATTCTATAAGAACTAATTGATAGGAATACAGCAATTAAAAGAGAAAAATGATGAACTGGAAACAGAGTATGGTATTGATATGGCTAATAGCAGTGTGATATCAGTCAAAACAGAGTAAAAATATAGTCCGTGAGCATGAGAGGATTCTTGAGTCTCCCAATTTCTCACTAACAATTAGCTTAGATCCCCCCGCCCCCCCTCTCTCTTTTCAAAACCCGTCTTTCCTATTTAACTTCCTATTTGCATACCCAGTGCTGTTAGTAACAGCATTTCCCACCAATAAAGGGGGAGGTCATGCATGATCAGTTTGTCGAGAAGAGCCCAATCCCGTAAGGCCCTTGCTAGTGTAAACCCGCATTACAGGAGGAATCCTATCAATATTTCCCCCCAAAGCTTTAACCTTGTCCTCAAGGTAAAAAGTTGGGAATTGTTGCTGGATAGTTATGAAAAGCTTCCAAGTGTTCTCGATGGATGGTAAGACTGCCATTTGATCAACACTTAAGAGTTGGCCAGCCGCATTTTCATATAGTTACTAATTAAAGCTGAATTTAACTACGATAAAAAACAGACAACACCCCTTACATAGTTTGAGCTTCAATTCAACTCCACAGATTTTACATGACATTGTAAATTGTAAGTACAAGGTTATGCTAACATAGGAACCAAATTTGACAAATTGTCATCAATTTTGTATAAAATCTAAACATGTGGAAATTTTAGAAAGCATTTATCCATATTCATGTTTTGTTAAGAAATCAAATGTATGTCAAACTCAATACCTTACTGTAACGTGCATGGGAAACAGAAAATTGTGTTTGATCTTTGAGAATTGGGAATGAAGAATCACCAGCACCATCTTTGTTCTGAAAGGGGAGAGGAAAGTTAATATATGCTCAAATCACCATAATAGAAATTGAACCGAAATTAGCATATCTCTTGTTTATTGAGTCTTGCCTTTTCATATACATACAAATTCCCATCAGCATGAGCAACAACAAAGGCACCATCACCTCCAGGCACCCAAGCAATACAAGTACAACGACTGTTCAAAGCAAAATACATCAATCAAAGCTAGTTTCCAAACAGTATCTTTAACACGATAATCCAATACATTAAAGATCTTTAAAATACTTAAGACAATTTTAACAAGTAACAATTTCAACAAATGACCTCTAGCTTCTTTACTATTCAATGCCAAGAGATTAAGACCATTGAATTTCACTATGCACCAACAATCACAAACTTTACCTAGTATGAAAAATATACACTTATAATAAATCAGCTGTATACAATTGAGCTACATTTTCCCATTAACCGAAAATCTTCATTATTTCACACCAAGATAAATTACTAGCTCATAGACAAATCACTTGCACCATACATGTAAGGGGGCTGAAAGGCAAACAGCAAATATGGAAAGAATAAACCTACAGCATACAACAGGAAGAGGAACATGCACATAACTTAGCAGATAATCGCGATAACTTCTAAAACTGTAAAAAGTTCATCTCAATATAAAAAGTGACCCTAAACACAAGGAACTCATAGCCTCCCTGTATATCTGATGTTCTCTGAACAACTTCATATGATGATCTACTCTAATCTATCATAGATAACCCATATCCATGCCCATTCTAAATCAGGGCCGAATGAGCCTTTAACAAACTGAAATGGAAAGGACTTGATTGTGAAGCATTGGTATAGGTAACTTAAGATGACCATATACATAGCCCAATAACTTCTATTATATACTTTGCAGCCACCATGACATGAATCAACATGCAGTGGCTGAGCAAGACCTTAAGAAGCACTATTGTCTCGGGGCCAAATTAATGAAAAATAAAAATTCCAAGTAAAATACTAGATTTTAAAAAATAAAACTGCATGGAGCCAATGCACTATGTGCCGCTCCTGTCTATAACTAACAAACAGTATAATATGTTTCTTGCAAAGTCAGGTATTCAGGGTAGTCATACTCAATGAAATTTAGGGACAACTTTCAGAATGACAGATGACAGTCAAGGAACAGAAATGATCAAAATTTGGCCATCTAAGCATAATATTAACTGACTATTTGTTTCTTATGATATATTTTCAAAAACTCACAAGATCACCCTCAACGAACATGAATCTCTCAAGAAAGCAAAGAACGCTTGCTGCATATAAGATTACTCTAAAATCATCATTAATATACCTTTATATCTCTCAGTAATATTAATAATCAAAAGCTAGCAATTTTAAGAAACGCCAACACTTGCAGTGAAAAACATCACAAGGAATCAAATGTTGCCTGTTATTGACAGAACCATCTTTGTTGTAATGCTGGGCCCCAACAAGCTTTTTACCAACATCTTGTAATTGCTGTCTCACTGACACCGAGTAAACTACATAATACACACAGGAATAATAAATTGATAAAGTTTAAATTTTCCTCACAAAATGGAAATTTAAATTTCAGTGAAGGCATTTTTTTACCATCACCGGTGCTCAAGCCAATGAGCAAATCATGCCCATCCTTTGAATCCTGATCAAATGCATGGCATGTGGGGTTTGAATTACTGAAGTGGATAGACTTTATGGGGTCCTACATTGAACAAGAAACCCCTCATGAAGAAACTTCAAATTACATACAATCCACCCAAACCAAACCAATATACCTTGTCTTGAGAATTCAAATCACTTATGAAAATTGCATCCCCAACATTGAAGATCAAGTAAGTTCCTTTCCCATCAAAATTCGAATTAGCCATTGAATTACTTGAACTAGAGGCACCAATCGAACCAATCCTAGTGTTTCCAGCAAAATTCTTGCTGCTACCATTTCCTCCAACAAAACTAAGAGCACGGCTTCCATTGCTTCCTCCCAACAATCTAGCTGCAGCGGACCGTACACCACTGCTGGCACTGAAACTCAAAGACTGCCCAGTTGGAGTTGAAGGTGCGGGCTTGTCTTTGAGATGTGCCAGAGTTACCTGATCATCCAACCCAACCAACAAGGTCCTAATGATTAATGTTTACATATTACATTTTAATTCTACAAACTGTTAAGGGAGCAACACACACTGAACAAGGAAGAAAAAAAAATCATCATAATAATAAACAAACCTGCCAAGCCTTCACTGAAATTGATTCTACAAAATAGCTAACTAGACGACAATAAAATAACCACTGGAACTGAATAAAACACATCAACGAAATGACCCTGGAATTTGCTTAAAATCAATAACTTAAGAACTAACACAATTGCCAAAATCGAATTGAAAAAAAAAAAAAAAAAACTCAATATCAGAAACAAAAATTCAACTAAATAAGAATCATAGGAAACCCTAGGAAGAAGAAGGGATGGACCTGAGTAACGGTTTTGCCATGGGCGTAGTGAAGAAGACCGGAAGGGTAAGTCTTCTCGTAGTGAAGCTTATATCGGCCTTCGAGGGTTTTGAAATATGTCTTCAAACCAGAGGGTTGTGCGGTTCCCGACGAAGACGACATCGGAATCACGCCGTTCCCGTTGTTGATCATGGTGGCGATTACGATGGGAACCGCAACATACGATCACGACATAACACTACTATCATCACTCTACTATAACTAGGGTTTCAATTGAGTTCAACACTTTTGGTCCTTCGAATCCTCTTTCCCTTTTGTGTTTTTCTTTTTTAGTTCAACAATGGCTTCGTTTGAGGTTTCCTTTGCTTGTTACAGTTGCAGATCAAAGGAAGAAGAAAGTGGGGTTTACATCACATGTTTTGCCGGTCAACGGAATGAACGGCAGTGATTTAAATTTTTAAAATTAGTTTCTTTTTCTTTCCTGTTATTATCGCTTTATTGCAAATTATCATGGTTATTGTAAAGAGAAGATGTATAATTTATTTTTGTTTACAACTTCTTATAATCATATCTTAAATGTTTATTTTTGTTAATCAATAATTATTATTTATTGTGAATTAATAATTAATTAATGAGTTTAAGAGTTTTATAATAGTTATATTGTAGGTAAAGTGATTGTGTAATGTTATAAAGATTCGTTTGAGTGCCGTAATTTTCTTTTCTTTTTTCAAAAAATGTTAACTCCACAAAATGTTTTGTGTAGGAAAGTTTGTTATGTCATGTTAAATGATAAATTGAATCCCCATGAGTTTAATTTGCAAAAATAATAATTGTTTAGTGCCCGAGACCAATGGTTAAAGATATGATTGTAAGAGATTTGTAAGGTTGCAAGTATAATCTTCCTTATTAAATGTAAAGTCATAAAAAATAAAAGAGTGAACCGGGGAAACTGCTATGCTTGCGGTTCGCTTCTAGAAGCTGTGTACTGAGAGACTGTAGGACTCGTAGGAGAATATTCTGAGATTACAATGGGCTTTCTTGTATTGGTTCAGTGTTTAGGGGCTGTCTGATTTTTATTTTATCTTTTGTAGAAGGGGCTCTCTGATTTTATTCTGTACAATAGTTAATAAAATATATGTTTTTATATTTTAAAAATTAAAATTCAAAATAATAACAACTTAGATATATTTTTTAATTTTAAATCTACACATTAAAAAAATATATATAATTTTTAGAACTATTTTTACCTAACAGAACTTATTTAACATTATTTTTTATTTTGAAAATTAAAAAATTAAACAGATATCAAACAGGCTTAGATTGCCGATCCATTAAAACCACACTCCATATTTATATTATTATAAGAGATAATTTTATCTTTTACGTACCTATAAAAAAAAATGTGTGAGATTCATATTTTTTTTTCTCTCTTTTTTTTCTCACATGACCTCATATGAATTCCACTTGGAAATAAAATTATCCTTAGAAACATTAATCCATTACCAAATTACTGAAAGTGAAAGGGGTGAAGAAAGAATTTAAGTGTCTCACGACACCAGATGATGTGGTATTATTGGGTAAGGCCCTCTGCATTGTAACAAGTTCCTAATCCTAGCATCATAGAACAATATTAAGAATCTATTTTTTGACATATTTTTTAATATACTTTTATTGTTAAATAAATTTTATTATTAAAATATCTGAATTAACATAAAATTTATATAAAATTCACTCAATAGTAAAAAATGTGTCAAAAAAAAAATGTTATTAAAACTTTTTCAACAGCGTATTCAAAACTCGTGCTGCGAGTTTAGCTCGAGTTAATTTAGTCTTCTTTGGACTTGGGGTGTAGTTGTTATGGATCTACAATCTAAACCTGATCCAATACAACAAAGCCCATTGCAGAATTTGCTCTGAATCCTAATGCCTTGCCGGTTCCTTTTTTAGGTTATGACTTTACAATAACAATTTGCAATTAAGCGATAATAACAGGGGAAAAAAAACTAATTTTGTATGTGAATGCTAACTTCAAGCAAATATGAAAATGTCCATTATATGGGGTCAAGTGAGAAAGGAGAAATGAAAACAGACTCGAGACTTCAAAATGAAATTTCAAAAATAGATCAGGGGCTTATACTTACTCTTTTTGGATAGATTTTTCAATCCAAAATATGATGAAAAGATGTTATATACCTTTCTTTGCATGTTTGCATAAATGTTCACAATTAGAGGAAAACACCACAAAAGAGTTATAGATAATCTAAAGTAATTTGGGTCAACATGTGTACATCCACGTATGAAAAGACTCAAACATACGCTTAAAATAAGATTATAGGATAATTTTTAAGGATGTTTTTAATTTCTTTTATCTAACAAGTAACCACTCTATCTATATTTCTAGTCTTCTCAATCTCATATCCTTACCATTCCTCAAATAATTGTCCACAACAATTCACTTAATAAACGATTATCCTCAAACACTACATATGAGCCTCCTAATTTTCTATTAAAGTGAGTGTGATAATGTTATGCCAGGTAATCAAAGTGGTAGAGATACTTGATCATTGGTTTAACCAGTAGGTCACTAGTTCAACCGTTTAAATTGGATAAATATATATATATAAATTTAAAAAATTTAATTCATATTTCAATTTTTTTTAAAAATATGACATAAAAATATATTTATGGCATCAAAATCAAACAAATGCAGCAATGCCCAATATAATAAAGAAAGTGAAAATAATTTTTCCAAAAAAAAAGTGAAAAAATAGGAATAAAAAATTATAAATTTAACTAATGAAAAAATTCAAAAAGAAGGAAATGAAATAAGAAATGAGTGGTACATACGAAACCAAAAAAATAAATCTCTCTATATCGTTTTCTCTTTCTTCAGCGTTGGTTTTCAAATTTCAACTTTTATTTCTTTCACTGTGGCCAGTCTTTCTTCCGACGTCTTCCACTCTTCTTCCTCTTTTATCTTTTTTTATCTTCACTGTTCATTTCATTTCAATTAAGTTTTTTTTTTTTTTGACTCAACAAGTTACTGGGTTTAGTAAAATCAACTGGTTCACTCCGATTCATACCAGATCACACCAAATCACTTGCATATTTTATCCATTATTTAATCTAAATCGGTTATATAATTGGTTTATCGGTTTTCAGTTCCAACCGACATGTCCAATTCAATTTTTATAACACTTGTGACTTGTGAATTTGTTGGTTGAGCTTTGTGGGTAATATTTGGAATAGAATTGAACCAAGCCCACTCTCGGGCGCAGTGCCCATCTTTGTGCATCTCTAGGGATAAACTCCCATACAAGGCAAAAATTTGAGCCGATTTTCATTTTTTTTTTTTATTGTTAGTTAGAGAACAATTTTATTTTATTTTTGAAAAAGGAGAACAAATTTTTGTCGAGTCAAGTATTGACTTATTTTGAAAAGCAAACCATAAAGAATACACAATTTATATGCTGTACAACCTATATATAATACTCACCAAGCTTTGTAAAAAAGAGAAAAAAAGGGAAAGTAGGATAATTATTGTTAGGGAACGCAGGAGTTCAAACTTCAAAGAGATTGCTAGGCCCGACTCAGGTCTCAAAAAGCTGATCATGACAAATACCAATAAAAAGTGAAATCTCACTTAAAAAAAAGTTGAAATCTCATTTTGTGCAATTTTCTTTACGCTTAGGACTTCTCTTTTTGTGCATTTTCAAGAATCCTGTTGCTGCGCCCTAGCTAGCCATGGCCTACCCTCTAGATACACCTCTTGAACTGGAGAGCTTTTTGGGTATTATAATTCTTATATCATTTCCTAAATTAATAATCATGAAAGCAAATATGAAAAAAAGACAGAGATTAAAATAATATAATTTTATTTGAAAAAAAAATACCGAATTTGATACTAAAAAATAAAAATTCGTTGAACAGTTTCTCTTACATCAACGGCCCTTTTTTTTTCAATTATATCTTTATGTACTTATAAGAAAGAGAATCACATATTTAGAAACTTTTTATTTATAAACTTTTATAAACTATGACCGATCATACTTCAATTCAATGGCAGACTCAAAAAATTTTATTTATGTCGACATATTTAGTGACGTGTTGCCCCCAAATTTTTTTTAAAATAAAATTTTAAATGCATTAAAAAATTATAAGAATATAAACAAGAAGGGTTTATATTCTTATGTTACTTAAACCAAATTTTTTGTCAATGTTAAAAAAAAATAAGACCAATTCATTGAATAATGTGTCATCTCACTTTCTTTAGTATTAACTTGTCTTTTCAACTTAAATTTTTTTTTCCAAAGTGGTGGGACCCCCCTTCTTTGACCTTTGTTTAATAACTAATAAGAATCAATTCGGAGCAAACATGTAGTAAGCGCCCTGCAAAAGCAATAACGATATTATAGGAAGGGCCGAAGGGGTGTGAAAAAAATCAAAGTAACTGAACTGAAAATTGATCCAAACTGCATCAAGGGAACTGTAAAGAATCTTGGGATACGTCACTCCAAAAGCTAGCTCAAAGGGTGGGAGTGTCTAAGACCTTATAAACTCCACATTAATTGCACATACAACCAATGTGAGACTATATATCTCAACGCGCCCCCTCACACTAGAGTCCATTGGGCTTGAAGAGTGGAAGATGCAACATGCCCAGCCTACCTGTGCTAAGAAACGCCACAAGAGAAAGTGGGGGAGGCGGCGAGGGCCTTGTAAAGAACCTTGGGATACACCACCCCAAAAGTTATATAGCTCAAAGGGTGGGAGTGCCCAAGGCCTTATAAACCTCACATTAGTTGTCCATACAACTAATGTGGGACTATATTTCTCAACACTTGGGATACACCGTCCCAAAAGCTAGCTCAAAGGGTGGGAGTGCCCAATGCCTTATAAACTCCACATTAGTTGGCTCATACAACCAATGCGGGACTATATATATCAACAGTAAGTATGTTTTGTATTGTTTCAAAAACTGAACTACTTTATTTGAACACGTTTAAGAATTGAGAACCGAACCATTTTATTGGTTTAGTTTGGTTCGGGCTGAAAACAAAACTGAACCGAACTATATTCATTTTCAAGAGTGTAAAAAATTCAGATGAATTGAATTAAACTGCAAACTATAAACCGAATTACATTTTTTTCAGACCAATTTAATAACTAAATTATTTTCTCCAAGTCAGTTTAGAAACTAAACCATTTTTTAAAACTGATTTGGAAACTCAATTCGATTCAATATACAAAACATAACCAAACCGAACCACGCACAGGTACATCATATATAAAGCCCGAACATATTGGGAACGTTAGGGTGACCGGGTGCACCATGCATGCAATCTATTCATTAACCAGCAAATAATGACGATTGATATCGCCGAAAACAATATAAAAAAGAAAAAAAAATACAAAAAACAAAACAATAAGAGAGTATTAATATATCTTTTTTTGAAATATTCCAATCGGATCATCATTTCGCGATTAGTTCGATTTTGGGCGGGTCTCGAAATTATAGCTTTCAACTAGTGGGAAAAAATTATGAGAGCCACAAAAATAAATATTTTTCTTTCTCCTTACTTTCCATTCAACTTTGTTAGCATGATAGAAGGAAAAGGAAGAGAAAGAATATAGAGAAAAAAAAAACCAAAAAAAAAAGCAAAAACAAAAAACAAAAGCAGATCGAAGTCGATGTATTATTACCCCTCCTTTTTCAGCTAATAAAAAAGATCGAAGTGATATCTTCTCTCATTTGTTTAGTTTTATACAGAAAAAGAATGAAAATGCATGTAAATTAAATAAATAAATAAGAGTGTATGTAAATGTATAATGAGGCGCATAAAATTACTTTTTCTTCCTTTCTTTTCATACGTACCAAAAGGGAAAAGATAAGAAAATGGTGGGGCCCTCGAAAAATTTATCACCTCACATCCTTTCCTTTCCTTTACAAATGTGTTGTGAAATAAGAGATAGATTTCAAACCTAGATCCTTCTTTTCTTTTCCATTCTAAAAGAACATACCAATTAAAGAAAGCTCTAAAAAAGAAAAGACATAAATAGTTCTAAAAAATTAATTTTTTTATTTCACAATCAATTTATTGCAAAGTGCAAACTCAACTTCTCCTGTTCAAATATTATCCCATTCATCTAAGATGCGGTCGTGAGCTTTTTCAAAAAAAAATTATATATTAATTGGTATTCAAAATCCTAACAAATCCATTAAACTTCTTATTAGTTCTGGTAGAGGCAGAAATTATTTTAGCCCGTAGCAAACATCAATTCCAAAATAAGACTAGCTAGTACCAACGCCAGCTAACTGTGGAGGAAGGATCCTCTCATGTGAAAAAGTAGTCATGTGATCTTATTATTGAATCACAATTACTCATTCATGATGAGATAAGAGAGAGAAAAGTGTATAATTTTATCCTCTCATGTGAAAAAGTGATCATGTTATTTGATCACAATCACTCATTGGTGATGAGATAAGAGAGAGAAAAATGTATAATTTTTAAATGAGTGGTCATGACAATCACTTTTTCACATGAGAGGATCCACTCCCGTTGAGGAAGATGTTATTTTCATAGTTTTATGTTATGTCTATAATTATATAATGGAAAAAGTGTGTGTCATTTTAAAGGATGTAAAGTTGTGTCATTTTAAGAGAGAGAAAGAAATAGATAAAGGAGGAGAGAGAGTTGACAAAAAAAATAAAGGTATGGATCTCACCTCTTTGTAAGAGTGAAATGATATAAGTTGTGTCATTTAAAACGATAAACGATTTTTCCTTATGTAATAGAAAGCCAAACATTTTTAAAATACTTATTGATTTCAACGGGGTCGGCCACATATTCCCATCAATAATTATTGGTACGTAGCAATGAAGAGATTAATTTAAGAAGCATGTCAAGTAGTTCACTACTCCGGTAATTGTGGATGGTTATCTAATGCACAGCATCAATAAGTATGCAAGTGATTCTTGGTTTACACATTTGCATCGTTTTTGGACATTGATCCTAATTGGAAGCAGTCAAGGACACACTTTACAGTTACTGTGCTGAGAGAGAGAGAGAGAGAGAGAACAGCAACCACGAACTGTCAAGCAATCAAGTGTCGTCAATCCATATTCCAAACACAATGAGTCACAGAAATTTGACCAGCAGCTAGCCATATATTCATTTCACCCATGATGATTCTAATTACTATGACGTGATTTTTATATAGCTGTAGCTACCACTACCACTTGACAAATCTAACGGCTCGAATGTAACTTTCACTGTTTAACACTGGGTAGCTGGAGACTTCACTTTCTAATAGTGACAATGAAATCAGGGTCTACCGAAAAAGCTACTCTGGCACCTAGATTCTCCCTACTTAACAAGTACTGTGTTGTGTTGCACTTCATATATATCTACCAAAAGGGTAAGCAAAGATTTACGAGGAATATTACTTTTATATTACGCAAGAAAAAAAAATCTTTCATATATTCATAAATTGAAAAAGAATATAAAATGAATCTCACATTTAATTTAATATGTGAGTGCATGAATATAAGAGTAATATTCCCCAAGATTTATAACTCCTGAAAATGCTCCCCTGCATTATTATTATTAAAAATTTCGTAAAACATATCCAAACGAATCAAATTGGGTTACCCTTGCAACTAATTATATATATTAATATTTATTAGCACCAAATACGTGATCAACTGGTAAATATTATTTCAATTTAAATAGTGGTATGATCTCAAGTTTGAATATTGGGTACGCACCTATCTTAAGAAATTTGATTAGCTGAGTAATCATGGGGAATTAAAAAAATAAATATTAACGTAACTCATTTCATTATTTTATACCTCCATTCCCTTCTCTCAAAGAAGATGAGAAGCCAAAAACAACAAGAAGGTTAAGACAGAAGATAAAACAACAACAACAACAACAACAATGAGGAGAACATGCATGACTTGGTGTTCGCTATTTCTTTCAGTTATCTCCGACATGCAGTGGGTCCCAACACGAACCAAAAGCTTGATGAAGATTCAAGTTTGATGTTATTTTACAAAGATTCATAACACATCACATGAAAGGGTTGGCTCAAAACGACTTCACTGGTTGCCTGTGAACTGGGTTAACCCCATTGATGAGCCTATAGAAGCAAACTTTGCAAGCTCATGGGGAAGGAATTGATGGCCAGCTCCTCCTCCTCCACCACTCACGCCAAGAAAATCTCTTGTCAAACTATGTTCCACAGCGTTTGAATGGAGCTTCAATTTCACTGGCTCACTTTGTTGCCCATTGGTTTGCATCACAAGTTGATCAAAACTGTTTGACGAATGCGTCAATGAGCCAAAATTAGTAGGACTTCCCATCATGGCTGCATTGCTAGTTGTCGAAGTAAAATTCTCAGGTTGCTTCATACTCTGAAAGGCATTATTATTATTATTATTATTATTATTACTATTACTATTATTATTGGTATTACTATTACTATTGAGAGTGGTAGTTTGGGAGGAAGGTGAAGTGATTACTCCAAAACTACCACTAAAAATGGAAGGGTTGGTGCTTCTGGTGGAACCCATCTGAGCTGCTTTTTGAAGAAGTGCAGTGGCAGACATTGGAGGAGCTGGCCTTGATTGCTTGTTTTGACCCTCAGAATAAACACATGCCAAGTCTACATTTCCACCTTCTCCCCTTTTCCCAATAGGTAGTGAAGACAGTGAAAGATTTGAACTTGTTGAATTTGTAGCAGGCACTCCAAAAGTAGACAATATTGAAGAAGAGCCAATCAAGGAATTATTAACCTGATGACCCATTTGCACAATCTCAGGCAAACCTGATGAAGAGCATGATGAACCATAAATCCCAGAATTTGGTCCCACACCAGGGTTCCCCTGGTTCAACCATAGTGATAAGCTTGGCCTAATTTGCTGCTCTGCACCCATTCCATTAAAATCTAGACTAAACGACCCATGTGGACCAAATTGGTGAATTCCATTGCCAGCTACATTTTGTAGTCCATGCCCCAAACCACCCTGTGATGAGTTGTTGTTCATCACACTAGTAGTAATACCCTCTTCGTTCTTGAAATTTAGATTTGTTGTAGCAACTGAGGTGAGTCTCGCACTCTCTTCAGCCAAGGCATCACAGAATGCTCTATGAGTTATAAAGCTGTCCTTCCTGTTCAAAATTCAATGAAAACCCCATTAATTACCTTATTCTTTGAAAACTATGTATATATATAATTAAGGAAGCATTAAATGAATGAATAAACCTCGTACATGTTACATTTATATATATATATATAAACATTTATTTCATTTACAACAGACACATATGTATATATATTTTAAGTACCTGGAGAAGAGGGTGCCACAGTCACACTTGTATTCTCTAGTGCCACAGGTTTTGGTGTGAGCTTTCCAATCTGATTGGACTGCGTATTTCTTAGAGCACTTCTCACACTTCCACTTCTTCTCACCGTGCTTTCTGCTGAAGTGCTTTTTTATACCTGTGAGGTCACCGAGTGCTCTTGATGGGTCATGGTGAACGCAAGTCTTCTCAGGGCAGATGTAAACCTTCTTCTTCACCTCTTTGTTGGACCTCTGTCGTAGCTTCCATGGAAGGTTGTGACCCCTTCGATGAAGCTGAAGGTTTTGATCTCTCTGAAACCCTTTGTTGCATATTTCACAGATGAATCTGTTCGTTGCCATGAGGGTCTTTGGTGAAAGAGCAATGACCTCGGCATCTGGATCTGTAATGAAAATTAATTACCCATTTGAAAAATATAAAAAAATAAATATAAAATTGAGAACAGAAAAAGAGAAGAACAGCTAGAAAGGAGAGTGCTTTAATGAATGGTGAGCGACCTGGTGTTCCTGGTAGATTTCTCTTCTTCTTGGGGACAGGATTAGGTTTAGGGTTAGGGTTTGGGTTTGTGTTTTGTTCTTGAGAAAACCCTCCAATTGAAGTGGATTGAGAAAAGGGATCACCGGGCATCATTTGCATATTAGAAGAAAGAGAGTGAAGAAGCTATAGTGGAGTGGTTTTGGACAGAAGCAAACAGCAAACTTTTTCAAAGGTTTCAGACAGTACAAGGAAGAAAACAATGGTTTTGGAGTAGCAAAAGCCAAGAAATGAACATAAATTCTTTTGGAGGGTACCCAAATTCTTTAAAGAGAGTGGCTGGCTATATATATATCATTCTGCCAAAAGACAGGAAAAAGCCATAAACGAAACTTGAATCGAACCAAAAGTATTTGAAAGTCTAAAAAAGAAAATATATACTAATGCAAGAGCTTCCAACTAGTGATTTCGTTTCTTGTTTGTTTGATTTCATTTCTCTGAAGATAAAACCAAAAGCTCTTATAACCATAACATGGCTATAAATAAATATATCAGCTCTTTTTTTCTCCCAACCTCTTCTCTTTCTCTCTCTCTTGCTGTCTTTGGTCTTGGGAGTAGTCTCTTTCTCATCTTATTTACTGGTATCCTCAAACACGGTGAGCCATATATTTTGATGGGCCACCACACACACACACACCCTCTCTCTCTCTCTCTCTCTCTTTCACAGTCACACACAGAGACAAACAAAAACAGACACAACCCACACGCACAATATTGTGGAATAGTGTGTCTTGTGTTTGAGGGAGTGAGCTACCTTTCTTTTGCCTTTTTGCCTAGTAAACCATAAATTTGAATGTGTAGGAGGGTAGTGTCTTTGTAGAACATTTTTTAGAGCACAAACTCCAATTGTTTGCTTAGAAAGCCGAATTTTATTTTTTTGAATAGCCTTTTGAAGTACTAGCTTTTCGTAGAAGTGAATAAAAATATTATTATGATGAAAATCTCGAGAGCTAAGTAGTAATAGTAATTTAATAGTACTAGTACTAGTACTAGACTAATAGCTAGAGTAATAGTAGGAAGGTTTGTGCTTGACTACTTGTGTGTTGTGCATGCAGTACAGATAGGAAAATCAAAGGTTAAAAAATGATGCTGTGGTTCTTCAGAGAACGAGGGGTAACAGAAAAGTGAGTTACCTTTTTAAGAACCTTTATCTTGTGTAGAATGATTAAGCCATAATTACAGTAACGTAAGACCCCCCCGCTTTTTTTAGCATGCAAGAGATTAAATCAGATTCACAACACAGACACTGATGAGATTATTGTATGCAAGACTCTGAATATTGTGGGGTCCAATACATTATATAGTGGGGCCCTGTGGGGGAGGTTTCTCTTTTCCCAATGCAAAGTGATAGGACCGTCCGTGATACCTCTGTCTCTGTCAGAGTCATAGCGTGGGACCCAAAAAAAAAAAATTGGAGTGTGTGGGGACCCTTGATGCACCGTCCATCTCCAAAAAGTGCGAGCGTGATCAATACTTGTGCATTAGGTTACAGTGCGCTTACAGGTACAAGTCAATGAGAAGTCACAGGGCGAGGTTATAGCTAAGACTAGATGTTAGTTGATGTATGTATGTTTATACGCGTACATTACGTTAGAATAGCATAAAAACATGTCTGGGAATATGATCGTATTGTTTGGTCACCATGACCACGATGTTACATTAATAAAGCTTAAGTTTTTTATGGGCTGGCCCTGCCTAGTTTGTTGTTCGTAGCAGTGTCCTAACTAGATGTGATAGAGAAAGTTTTGTGAACAATTTATACTGTAATTGTTAAACCAAACAATTTTTTATCTGTGTCTAAAGAAATTGGTGTCGTATTTAAAGCATATATAGCATATAGATATATACCTGTATGTTAAAAGGAATATTCCAACTAACCACGAACTTTAAGTATAGATTTGGAGATTACTTGAATGAAAAAGACACCTCACCCTCCACAATCAAACTCCTACAATTAATGAGAGTTACTAGATGATCACCAAGCCAAGACAATCATTAACCAATCTCTTTCTTTTGTTGGGCTAAAATTGTCAATTGATCGAATTCAAATTTAAATTGATACTTTTTTTGTTGTTGATAAATTTAAATTGATACTCTATATCTAATGTTAGGACTGTAACAATCACACACAATCACAAAGTAAGGAAAGAGAGAAGGGAAGAAAAAGGAAACACAAAATTTACCTTGTTTCATTCAACATGGGCTACATCCATCAGCAATATTTACTATATTCTTCTCACAGTATTTATTATAGCACTCAATTTACAAAATGAATATATAAATATTCTTAGAAACCTTAAGCAATAACTATTCATGAGTCGAAGCTTAAACTATTAAAAAAGAGAAAATAAATAAAATAAGTTAAAGGCTTACAACAGTATCAGGCATCCGTTGTCTTGGGTGCGCTGCTCCCACATCTCCGTTAACTTTCTCTGCGTCCTGCCAATAAAAATTGTCATATGAATGCGAAGTATGAATTTTACCCAACATGTAATAATATAGTTACACTCTTCTAAAAATCTATCGGACTAATGCAATACACATAAATATATATATATATATATATATATATATATATATATATATATATATATACGTACAGCTGCACAATCCCTCTATTATTTGTACTCTTATCTTTTTTTAGATGAACAATAACTATTTAAGCGAGCCAATAATTTTCAAGTTATATATATAATACTAGCCTGAGCTACTTCTCTATACCATATGTAATCCACGTGATTAAAGTTTACTTAGCTTTGAAAATTTATACATTCCGATTCCTCGTCATAACTCTTTCTGTCTATTTCCAACAACCCTACGTGTCTCCTTGTGTGAACAAATTTATTCATCACAAGTAACAACATTGACCTTTTTTATTCCTACCTCAACTAAACCACTACTACTACATAAGGTTAGTTATATATATACGAGGACTCAGGACTATACTATTCCATAGAGGGCACCGATTGTTTCAAAGGATGTTAAATTTTCTCATGCGAATGGTTGTTTAGAGATTGTACACGCATTTCAACTGACTTGGTTTCATATATGCATGCATAGACTAGCTATAGTTGACTTTCACTGCAATGGGTTAGATGAGGAGAGGGTGAGCCTTTACCGTCCTAATAAGCATAAACCTACGTGCTTAATTATGCAATTAAAAGGAGGACCAGCCTACGTTATTGATACTCCTTTTTGAATCCACATGCATACGAGAAGAATAAAATCATTTATGTAGCTCTAGCCAGTTAAAGTGTATAGTGCTTAGTTTGGCATAATCCCATTTTTGTGGCCATGGTAACCAACGGCCAGCGTTAATTGAATTTCTAAGATATTACCTCATTTGGTCCCATGCATTTAAATGTGGTAATTAATGGTTTAAAAAAACATGGGGCAGTCCAATTGCCATGAATATCCACAGTTAAAAGCTGTCACTTTTGATATACCAAACTTAGTATAATATATTAGAAGCTTGAGTACCCACTTAATTTGTGTTAATATTAAGAAAGACTTGACGAATTGCAACTTACCTAAGGTAACATTAATTAAACATTTAAAAAAGGGATTAAGATTGCATCATCAACTTTGGGGGCTTGACTAGCTAGTGGAATTGGTGAGGAACAGAATTAGGTGAAAACTAGCAATCAAACCAAGAAATAATTAATTAGATAGAATTAGAGGATTAGATAAAGTAGAATCTGTTGGGGCCCAACCTATTTGACAATATTGTATTCAGGAACTGAATGAGCAGGATCGATGCTCTGGGGCTGCATCTTTACATTATAGTTTGATGGAAACATAAGGAAATATAATAATTAAATTATAATAATTAGGGGAAAACGTAATGTGTTATGTTATAAAAATATCAGACAACTCAACTGCTTTTGGCTTCTTGCATTCGGAGCTTCCTTTCCAATCTATATTCTTTGTTTTCTCATCCTCATTTTGGTATCCGATGATCAATTCCTATTGTCACATTGACACTCATTTAAAACCCCATGTGCTAATTAATAATTTAATTTTACAAAATATTAAGACACGGTAAATAATTTTTTGAATTTTTCCACCTATTCATGGGTTATTTCGTTCAAGCCAGATAAGACTATAGTTTAAGTTGGACAATTCCTATCAATTGATCCACGTATTTCGTTCAAGTCAGGATAATTCTTATGAGTTAAATTTTTCCACCTGTTCATTTAAAACCCCATGTGCTAATTAATAATTTAATTTTAGAAAATATTAAGACACACGGAAATAGTTTTTTTGAATTTTTCCACCTATTCATGGGTTATTTCGTTCAAGTCATATAACCCTATTGTTTAAGTTGGACAATTCTTACGAGTTGATCCACATGCTCGGTGTTACTTATACATAGTGTACGTAAATTTAAAGTAAAATAATGAAAAATATATAATTGCTTGCTTTTTCAAATGAATTAGTATTATAAATTAAAAAGAACTCTGATTTGATTTACATATTCGTCCATGGAAAGGAATGAAACTCTCAGGTACGATATAAAAATCCATACATTATGTCCATTGAGATAACGACACACGTCACACACATCAATTCCATGGATTCCCCCCCGTCTTCCCCGCAAGCGTTTAGAGACTGAACGCCCCATAATTCTTGTTTATAAATTATAATTCATTCAATAAAGGCTTGGTCTTCGCTTGCAAATTTTAAACAACTAACCTGGAGTTCATTTCTAAATAAACTATAAAGTTTTGCTATCCAAAAACGCGTTTTAGTGCTAGATTTTCAAAGAAATCCTATGGATTGAAAAATGAATATGCATCAGAGAAGCAAACATTAATATATTCACAAGTGGATCTACTTTCCTGTATATGAATTGATTAGACGTTTCAAGGCCTTTTTTATGTGTTTTTTTTTTTTTTATTTGATACCAAAGGCATCATAAACAATATTTCAGTATGTTAGTACCGCAATTTGTTAGCTTGGATTATTGAGGCTGATCATTTCGCCTCGCAGAATCGTCTATGACAAAACTGTAAGTACTTAGCTTAAGATATGGTTAAGCCACAAATAGTAGAGAAAGAGAGAGCTCCAATGCTTAAGGGAGGACCTGTTTTGACTTGTGA